CCCAGACACACCGCCCCCGAGGACGAGAGGAGAGGGAGGAGGACGTGGGGGAAGACACGCAGGAGGAGGAGTGGAGGGGGAATCGCCGATTGGCGAAATTGGATAGGACGAGGACGTGGGGAAAGACACGTAGAGGAATCGGTGATTGGATCAGATGAGGGTAGGTGGAGGAGGACTCGATGATTGGCAAAATAGACTCTCTCGTGCTATCATATTGGATCTGGGCCGCTCGATTCCGAGATGACTGCCAGGAACCACCTCGCCTGTGCATCCATCGCGCAGCCACCCAGCACGAGCAGCATCGAGTGCGCATGCGAATCGAGAAGCGCAGAAGAAAGGGCGCTTCGAATGTCGACGCCGATGTTTTCTCTAGCTGTTCGCGGAACACTGAACAGGACACCTAAGCGGTGGCAAGGATCATGCGGGCGTGAAGTGTCTCGCTGACGAAACATTCGATTCACCTTAGACGGCGTGCCATTCACATTTGTTTCGCACCGTGTGCGAAATCGATCGGGCGCGCGTCGCAAATAAATCGAGCCGCCGAAGCAGGGCAACCGAGACACCATCACACATTGATCTGGGCCTCACCGGAACAGCGTGAACAATCTCAAATCACTATCGCGAATCGATCGATATATTATCGTATGAGACGGCATCAGAAGGGACCATCAGAACACCATCAACTCAGAACGGCAAATCAGTCGCATCTCAATGTGGGAGCCATCGACCATCAACTGGGATACCATCGCAGATCAATGGCAACTCGAATCCATCTGCCGATTATTCTACAAATGCGGCAGGTCAACCGAAACCAAGCGAAATTGAACCAGACCACCATAGCAAGTCAGCAGGGAAGCTATAGCAGACCAGTCTGGACCATAGTGGCACCTTTGCAGATAAGCAGCAGTGGTGTGCCCGATTGATCTGCGACGGCGTCTTAACTGGTGGTGCACCCGATTGACCTGTTGAGAGAGGAGCACATGCGCCCTCATAAAAAAGCACCCCGACAAGCTAAGCCGCTTAGTAAACTCGCCCAAGGAAAGACTCGAACAGGACAGGGCTATTCAGAAAACGCCCAGGGCCGTCTAGCAAACGCCAGTCATGGGCTCTGGATTTGTTTTCCCCTCCCTGGATTGCTGCCCGCTCGATTTGAGGTGGTGCCTCGCCCGATCTGCGCCTGCCCCGAGCGAGCGACTCACGACCGACCCATGCTGCGACACCGCGAGGCCGTGGGCTCGACGACGCCACGCCGCCGCGAGACCGCCACGCCGAGACGCCGCCCCCCGCCCGCCGACGGCGGCGCGCCCGCCGAGCGGAGCAGCTCCGCACCCGGGGGCCCGCGATCTGCAGCCCTCGCGCACGGCTCCGCGCGCACGCCGCGCACGGTGCACCGAGGCCACGGAGTGCTTGCTGCGGGGTGCCTCTCTCAGGCACTCCGCCGCCTCAGGCGGTGTGCGTTCAGAGCAGGGGGGCGCAGCGAGGCCACGAGAGAGAGAGAGAGAGAGAGCGTGGCACCGACAGCGCAGCTCCGCACGCGCGCCCCAAGCTCTGGCGAGCGAGAGAAGGGCAAAGCCCCCGGACGCCACGCGCAACGCAGAGGCCACGGAGTGGGCCTCCCACGGGCGTGCACGACCCCAAACGTCAAATTCAAGCCGTGCTCCGCTCACGAGCGGCGGACGCGCCCATATCCACGCCCTCGCCGCCTGGATTCTGGGGCGCGATGCCGTGGATACGCGGTCGAGTGGATGCGTGGATGTGTTCCGCGCGGGGCGTCCGCGAAAACATCCCCGGTTTCCACGGGATCGAGGCCCGAGGCCCTGGCCTGCGAGGCAGTGGATACCGATATGCTTCCTGCGCACGGCGCCCGGAGGGTTTTGGATCGCCCGCCCTGGAAGGCTGCAGAGCGCAGCAGCGGCAAGCAAAGAACACAACAAAAGGAGGACCTGTGCCGGCGTCGAGGTACTCGGTGCCGTCCTCGCGCGTGGCACGGGCGGCCCGGGGCGAAGCAACCCGAGCTCTCCCCTTCTTCTCGACGCCTGCGTGGGGGTCACGGCAATGACGACTGGGCGGCCTCACTGGAAGCCATTGTGCCCCCCACCATGCCTCACGACGAGCAGAACGAACGGATGCAAACGCGAAGCGCGCTTAGCAATCGCAGCAAGCCGTCTCAGTGTCACCATGCAGAGGAGGGCAACCAGCTTCCAGCCACGTTTCCTCTCTCATCCCTTCATCTCCTGCGCATTCCGCACCTCTCCTCCAGCTCCTCCGCCTCTTTCCTTCGAGGTACCTCGTCCTCCTCCCCGAGATCTGTCCGTGGGGCGGCCGAGGCGTGACGCCTGAGACGTCCTTACAGCTTACTGGTGACCCTCATGCTCGACCCTTCCAACATCCACAGTCATGGAAGACGGCCGGTCTTCAACGCCTGGCTCTCCTGTGAGAGCCGCGCGTGTCGCTTCTCGTTCAGCCCGGGCTGCCCGGGCTTGGCCCAGGCGTGAACGCTGCTCCTGCGGTGGCAAGCCGCCGACGACCGCTGTTTCATATGCACGCTGCACGGGTGGAGGGGGCGGCCCCTCTGCCAACGCGGCTGAGGCTCGAGGCTTGCTCACGTGTGGCGGGTGCCAGACATCCTCTGCTGCAGACTCGGAGGACCTTGCCTGTCCGCTCGCGCCCCGATGCGCGTGGAATCAGCTCGAGTCCATGTCGGACTCGCCCAATCCGCGTCGAACCCGCGCCGAGCCCACGTCCAATCCGCGCCCAATCCGCGTCGAGCCCGCACCGAGCCCGCGCCGGGCACGGGAGAAGACACCAATTTGCAGGGCCAGACCAGGCCCCCCGAAGGTGCAACGTAGGATAACCACCCCGACACGCGGAGCCGTTTACTAAACGCCCCCATCGACATCATCTGAAGGAGTCGAACAGGGCAGGGCCGCTTAGCAAACGCCCAGGGCCGTTTCGTAGACGCCTCTTGTCCGGTCCGGACGGCTTTTTCTCCCTTGAACCCTTAACCTCCAGACCATCCTATCTCTCGGGAGGCCGCTTTTATACTCGGATTCTGACCCGGGTCAATCCGGACCAGGGTCAGCAGGAAACCAAAAAACTGCAATGCAGGAAAACAACAACTGCATCGCAGGTCTTCGCAAACCTGGGTCAGCCAATGCGCGCGGCCGCCTCGCGGCCACGAGCGGCTCGCGTTGAACCCGGGTCAGCCAGAGGGGGTCTTCGCAGGATCCTGCAGGACCCGGTGCCCTGGCTGACCCCCGTCTGCATTGACCCCCGTCTCTTTCGGGGTTGGACAGACCCCCCTTTAGCAAAACGTGGTTTCGTGCAAACGACCTGAGGCCCCAACCTGGCGGGCGCAAGCCTGGAAAAAATAACGGCCACGGCGCCCTCTCGAGAACCGAAAACGGACAATTCACGAATCGACGTGTCGCTGTTGGGGGTTCTGTCCACCTCCGTCTCTGGAGCCCCGATGTACTTCCGCTGGCCTTCCGCCGGCGGGGGGCGGCCCCCGCCTTGCCTCGGCGGGGGGGGGGGCCGCCGGCCTCCCGCCGCCGAAGCAAGGCGAGGAGAGGGCGCCACCTCCCGCGGGCCCTCGAAGGCGGGCCCGGGTGCTGGAACGCCTCGTCTGATGGTCATACAGCCCGATCTGTACAGGGGGGCCCTCCTCCTCCTCCTCCTCCTCCTCCTTACCCTCCTCCTCTTCCTCCTCCTCCTCCTCCTCCTCCTCCTCCTCCTCCTCCTCCTCCCCTGCTATCGTGCCCCGGGGCTGGCAAAAGTGCGTGTTGCAGGGGGACCGATTTGCAGGGCCATTGGCGGTCGCCGGAGGTGCTCGCATGCGCACAGCCACTGACAGTTCCGCGCTTCTGGCGAGGCCCCAGAATCAATGCATGGCTCCTGCGCGAGGCTTCATGTGGCTTGATGGTTGGGAGGGCCCACCGACTCCACAGAATCAGGGCACTTCCTTGTCAAAACCGCGTTCCTGCTCGAGCGCCGTGCGCCTGTAATCCCACCAGCCCTCTGGGAATCGGTAGTTTAGGGAGTTTCCTCTTCCACCCCTCCTTCTTCCCCTTCGGGGATGGGTTTACCAGTGTTCCCTATTAATAAACACCACCTCCCCCAGGCGACTGGGGGTCAACCAGGGTCCATGACGACACCCCCCCACCATTCCTTGTAAAAAAACAATGCAAACCACACTCTGCCTCCAAATTCGGAACATGCGCAGCCAACCCGATGCGGCCCCCCCCCCACCATCCCTATAAAAAAAACTACATCGTACACTTGGCGGCGGCGGCGGCGGCGGCAGCGGGCGGCGGCGGCGGCGGCGGCGGCGGCGGCGGCGGCGGCGGTGGCGGCAGCGGCTGCGCGGCGCAGCGGCGGCGCGGCGCGGGCGGCGCGGCGGCGGCGGCGGCAGCCGGCGGCGGCGGCAGCGGCGGCGGCGGCGGCGGCGGCGGCGGCGGCGGATTGGCCCCCAGTAGCTGCCCATCCAAAGACGACTGCTGAATATGCTGAGGCTCGGGTCAGACTCGGGTGCTACGTATGTGTTGGGAGGGCGGGTGGAGTGAGAGAGACGGCTTGCGGGCGGGGAGGGGGTCTTGACCCATACCCTACCCCCTCCCCTGGACCTGGACAGGAGGTTTCGCGAGGTGTCGGAGCGTCTACAACGGCCACGGCGATGAAGCCAAAATCATTGGTTTTACTATGCTTTTGGCCCCATGTTGGCCTCCTAAGGGGGAGGCCCAAGAAGCGCCCAGGAGGCCCCAAGAGGGCCCCAAGAGGTGACCAGGAAGCCCCAAGAGGCCCCCAGGATGCCCCCCAGAGGCTCCCAAGAGACCCCCAAGAGGCCTCAAAAGACCCCGCAGAGGCATCCAAGATGCTCCAAGAGGCATCAGCGAGAATGCCAAGATATTGGTTTTCACTAAGGTTTTAGCCACGTGTTGGCCTCTTGGGGGGGCACTGATTAAGATGACTCCAAGAGCGCCTGGGAGAGCCCAAGATGACCTCCAAGATGGCTCAAGGTATCCCAAGATGTCTCATAATGGCTCCCACGATGCTCCAAGATGCCCCAAGACCGCTCCAAGACGGCTCCCAGTTGCCAAAGAGCTCCCCCAGGAGGTCTCGAAGAGGCCAAAACCTTAGGAAATGCTATGTGTTTGGCTTTCTCGCCTTTTCGCTTCCGATGGCCATCCGAGGCCTCAAGATGGCTCCAAGATGGCCCAAGAGGGCTCCATGAGAGGCTCCAGAGAGCCCCTGAGACGGCCCCAAGAGCGCCTAAGAGCGCTCCAAGAGCGTCCCAAGAGCGCCCCAAGAAGCGATTGTTTGGGCTCCCGAGGGGCAACGCTAACTAATGCTCGCTTCTTGTTTGATCGATGTCCCCCAAGAGGCGCCCAGGAGGCCCCAACAGGCGCCCAAGAGGCCTTCAAGATGTTCCCAAGAGACCCCCAAGAGGCCCCAAGAAGCTCTCCGAGGCACCCAAGACGCTCCAAGAGGCCTCCACTAGGGGAGCCTTCCTCTGTGTGCTGCCCACTTTCCTGATCGAGGCAATTCCTCTGGGCATCGTTTCTGCATGGGCTGGTGGGATTACGTGAAGCGTCTAGAATTATTAAAGCCTCCACCAGTTGCACGGGTGGTTGGCGACTCTCTGTCAGACTCGCTGGACGTTATGATGCTCCCCATAACGAAGAGGCTTAGGGCGGGGTGACGCATTATGGCACCAGTGGTTTGTAGGTGCAAGGCTTCTCTGGTGACTCCTGCTCCTCCTCCTCCTTCTGCTCCTCCTCCTCCTCCCCTTTTCTCTCGCCATCTGCCTCCTCCTCATTCTCCTCCTCTTCCTCCCCCCACCTCCCCTCCTCCGCTTTCAATCATTTGCCCTTTCCGCCTCGCCTCCTTCTCCCTCCTCCCACCCCTTCCCCATCCTCATCATCTTCTTTCTCCTCCTCCTTCTATTCCTCCTCCTCCTTCTCTTGCTCCTCCTTGCCCCCCTCTTTCTCAGTATCAACGTGGCGTTTGCGGCGGCTTCGGCGTCTTCCGAGTGGACCAACAACTTGGAGTCTAGCCCTGGGTATCACCAGCGTCCGTCCTCGCCAGGGGTTCGTCGGAATAGCCCCCTTGGGGCGCATCCCAGGGTTTCTCCCGCCCCTCCTGGGCGGCCAAACATCTCGGGCGGAACTCTGGGATTCAAGGGCTCCCGACCTCGCGCTTCGCGCTGCGCAGAGCGCGAAGTGCGAATCACTTCGCGCTCCCGCGCCGCCTCCCAGGGGAGACGGGGAGGAGGAGGAGGAGGCATCGGAGCCGACGTAGGCGGAGCGCCAACAACCTCGCGCCCTCGAGGGCGCCCTTGGGGGATCTGGGGGAGAACGACCCGCCTGCGAGGGGGGGAGGCCTCGCACAGCACCCTCCGGGGAGCCCCCGCCCCGCGACCTCGCCCGCCCCCGTGCCCGCCGCCGACGTATAGTTAGGCGGGGGCCACGGCTCGCCTCTTCCCAGCCGGCCGGCCCCGGGGAGGGCCCGGGGCTTAGTGGGCCCCGGGCACGGCAGGGCCGTTTTTAAATTCACCGTCTCCACAAAATGGCCCTTGAAAATGGGAACGGCAAAACAACGGCGACCGGGAACGGCCAAGGAACGGCTCCAAGACTGGAGCTGGAGCCGGAACCGGTCACAAACACGGCGACGGAAGCGGTATAAAAACGGCGTCGGAGCCGGCAAAAAAAAACGCAAGACGGACCCGGTAAAAAACGGCCCTGTCGTTTCCAGGGCCCACTAAGGGCCCGGGCACGCGGGCGCGCTCGCGGCGTGGGGCGCAGCTGCCGGGAGGCATCCCCCGAGGCCGGAGGAGCCGAGGCCCTCGGGATCGCTCGGGCGTCCATTTCCTGTGCACTGTTCTGTCTCGTGCGTGTGTTTTGTTTGCTCGATGATCCAGGATGCTCCTCCAGGGTCCTCGCCGAGAAAAAAATGCTCACGTCCGAGCGATGCCAGGGGCCAGGGCGAGGATACAGTCGGACCGTCGGACCTGATTGGACAGGACACGCGAGAGGATACGAGACCCTTCCGAGGGCCACATTGCCATAGGAACGTAGGAGGCATTCGTCGCGAGACATAGGACACAAGGGTACCCTTCTGGCAGGGTCGACCTACTAAACCGGGCCGCCTGTACAACATCGGGCGAGGATGACTCGAGAACCTCCGAGATCTGGCGACTCTGGAGGACGCATCGGGCGTCGCGGCCTTCTCAGAGCGTCCCTGAACGCTGTGGAACGGCTTTCTCCTCGTCCTCGCCCCGTCCGACTGGAACTCGGCGCAGGGCGAGTCGAGACAACCGTAGCGTAAAACCTGCCCCCGGACCCCTCCTGGGGTCGAAGCGCACTCCGAAGGCGTCCAGCCGTGGCGGCGAGCCGTGGCGGCGAGGGGGCCCCACGAAGGCCCACTCCCGCTGTCTCACCTCCCGCTCCTCTGATGAAGGGAAACTGGGGCACACAAATAAATACAACAAAAATAACCAGATTCCCCATATTTTCCAATTTTTGGGGGGTTCTGTCTTCCCCCCACTGCCCGTATTTTCCCGTATGTTCCTGGGGATCGACGATGAATTGTGTCTGTGTGTTTTTTCCCCTCCTGATCTGAGGGGCACCGCCGACGAGCGACGAGAACGCGTGACACCTTCGGGCCACCGCCGCCCATGGAGCCCCGACCCCCGACCCCCGCCGCCGTCCCCCGCCCGTCGCGGGCAGGAGAGGGAGGCCCTCGCTCTCCACACACTCTTCCTGACTCTCGCGGGTCGGGAGCGCACCTCTTCCCGTCGAAGCTTTTCAGCGGGCCGCGCGGAGTTTGAATTTAAGAACAAGAGGCGCAGCCTCAGAACGAGGCCGGGAGGAGGCAAAGCCTCGGAATCAGGCGGTGGGCCCTCTCTCTCTCTCTCTCTCCACACACACACACACACGCACGCACGCACGCACGCACGCACGCACGCAAGCACGCACGCAAGCACGCACGCACGCACGCACGCACGCACGCACGCACGCACGCACGCACGCACGCACGCACGCACGCACGCACGCACACACACACACACACACACACACACACACACACACACGCACACACACGCACACACGCACACACGCACACACTGGGCGAGCACCTCACAGCGCCTCGGCGAGCTCGAGGCCCCGCCCCTGAGCCGATGCCCCCCCCGCCAGCGGCGCTGCCCCCGAGAGCTGCCCACACCCCGGGAGGCCCGGAGAGGCCCCGCTCCCCGACCCCTCCCCCAGCCCTCCACCGCCGCCGGAGGGCAGGGGGTGCGGCCGGATCCCTCCAAGCCGGGAGAGCGCCCCTGCAGAGCAGGAGGGCCCTCCGCCGGCCAGGACAGACAGAACAGCCAAGGGGGGTGGCCCCCCCAGGAGGCGCAGGCGCATCCGACGAACACACGACGAGCAGCAGGGCAGCCTCCCCGAACCGACCTCGATCTTATACCCCGATCTGGCTGAAAAGGAACATCAAGCGGCATACACATCGTCACGTAACCTTTCGGCACTCCGCGCGGACTTCCTGCATCGGCGCGAGAACCCCCCTCCCCGGCGCGCGGAGCGCGCCAGGAACGGCGCCAGAGGCGCCGCCAGGGGGGTCCAGCGCCGATCCAAGAGATCCACGAGGAGCTCGGACAGTTTATGTTTGTGTTGTTTCTTCTTCGGAGAGGGCCGCTACAAGACAACGCGCAGATGCACAATTACGTAAGATGTATCTTTCGACATGCTTCTGGAATCGCAGGTCTCGTGGGACTTTAAAGCCTGCTCTGGATCACTTGTATTGCGTTCCGTCGCCACCGTTTGGTGAGCCTTCATAGGAGCCTTTGTGGACCACCGCGGCCCTATCATAAGCGTGAGTTCTATGATTTCGACCACCCCTCTTCACCCTTTCGTCCAGAGTTCGTCCAGACGTCGACCAAATCTGACGAACCCCTCCCCAAACCGCAAGCATTGTTTTGGACCCTCTGAGGCCCCCACGAGGGGCCACACAAATCACCCTTAAGGATGCGCAGAGCTGGTTGCTTGGCGGCGACAATTCGGGCGCATGGCGTAGGAGCGGGCACTACACGCACTCGCCGGGAAGCCTCGTCTGAGACACGCACCATCGGCGTCCCTGGATCCATGTATGAATCCCCCCTCGGCTATTCGCCCCTACAGTCATCGGCCTGACCTAAGGAACGATCAATAAGGAACGAAGCCCCTTTTATTATCCCAAGGAATAACGCATAAGGAACGATCAATAATAGATAACGCATAAGGAATGTAAATAACGCATGTAAAACCTAAGGAACGACCGAGCCCCTTTTGAAAAGTAAGTGTTCCTTATTCAAGCCGCTCACTGTACCGTCGCCTCCGAATTGCAGTCGGCAGGCCATCACTCGGATGGGGCCCCGTCCTGCTCCGGCGAGCACCTCAGCGCCACCGTGAGCTCGAAGTCCCGCCCCTCGCCCTCCGCCTGCGGGCACCCCGCGCCGGCGAGCCTCCTGGGCCGCCCCGCCGCAGCCAGCCTGTGGCGGCGCGCCAGCCGTCGTCTTCGTCGTCCGTCGTCGTGGTCGTCGCCGGCGTCGCCGCAGTCGTCGCCGGCGTCGCCGTCGTCGCCGTCGGCGTCCTCGCCGCCGCCGCCGCCGTCGGCGTCGGCGGCGGCGTCGGCGTCGCCGCCGTCGGCGTGGGCGGCGGCGTCGGCGTCGCCGCCGTCGGCGTCGGCGGCGGCGTTGGCGTCGCCGCCGTCGGCGTCGGCGGCGGCGGCGTCGCCGACGGCGGCGTCGGCGTCGGCACGGGCCGCGGGTCGAGGCCGTCGTCGTGCTGCCCTCTACGGTCGAGGGGGCGGGTCTCGGTCTCGGGGCGTCGTTTGGAGGCCCTCGCCAGAGGCACCTCCCGGCGAACCTCGGCCTCCGCGGGCGGGGGGCGGGAGCAGAACGTGACCAGAGGCCCGAGGATGTGCAAGACGTCTCCGCCTCGGCCTGCACTCTGCCCCTCCCTCGCCGTCTTCTCCCTCGCCTGCTCCACCTCTCGCTGCTGCTCCTCCTCCTTCTCCTCCTCCTCCTCCTCCTCCTCCTCCTCCTCCTCTGACCCCTGCTGCTCCTCCTGCAACTCCTCCTCCTCCTCCTCCTCCTCCTCCTCCTCCTCCTTCTCCTCCTCCTCCTCCTCCTCCTGGTCCTCCTCCTCCTCCTCCTCCTCCTCCTCCTCCTCCTTCTCCTCCTTCTCTCCTCCTCCTCCTCCCTCCTCCTCCACCCCCTCCTCCTCCTCCTCTTCCTCCTCCTCCACCCCCTCCTCCTCCTCCTCCGCCTCCTCCTCCTCCTCCTCCTCCTCCTCCTCCAACTCATCATTTCCCTCCGCCCCTCACCCTCTACCTTGTCCGTGGGGCTGCAACGGTGATGGGGGAGGGAGGAGAACGACGAGGGAGGGAGTTGGAGGTTGGGAGTTTCCAGCGGGATTGCCGATGGGCGCAACGTGCCTATCCACGGAAATCAAATCTGGCATCAAGACAGACTACCATGAGAGAGTTCGAGATCGCTGGTCGGGATGACGAGGAAGAGGAGGAGGAGGGGGAGGAGGAGGAGGAGGAGGAAGAGGAGGAAGAGGAGGAGGAGGAGGACCAGGAGGAGGGGAAGAGAGGAGGAGGGGGAGGAGGAGAAGGAGGACGAGGAGGAGGAGGAGGAGGAGGAGGAGGAGGAGGAGGAGGAGGAGGAGAGGGAGGCGAAGGAGGTGGAGGAGGAAACGGTCGAGGAGGGGAGGGGCGAGACAGAGGACGGCCTTGGGGTTGGGTTTGGGGGGGGGAGGGCCAGAATAATTTCACGATGCACCGACAGTGCTGCAATACGCCCTCTAGCCTCAGCTCCCTCCCCTCAAAATCCCTACAAGCATCCCGCTCCATCACGGACCGCGCCTCCCTGAAGGACAAGCACCCTGTGGTCCTGGCGTTCCATTTTGAGCAGGAGCCGCCCTCAACTCTTCGAGTTGTAGGTCGTTCCTAGCCTAGGACTACGGACATCAAAGACATGTAGAACTCCCTGTTCCAAAAAGGACCTGTCCTGCACCCGTGACATATTGCACGTGCCCTTTTCTACATTCCAATAACGTCAGAAGTAGCACATTCGCAAACGACGGAATCATTTCGAATATAGCCGCCATCCATCCGCGTGACGTGTCACTGTTGCACCGAGCCTGACCTTCTCGCCATACAAGTCTGAGGAGTCTGCAGCGAAAGCCCCGCTCCGACCAAGGAGGCCCCCTCCATCCGCGCAGCTGCAGGCTTTGGAACGAATGCGCGCGGCGCTGACACGAGAAACACATCCTGAACACGTGTGGCAGTCCATCCGCGCAGCCGCTGGACGCGTTCAAATCACATGCGCGAGGCTCCTGGGCGGGAACCTCATGTCGACAGCGGCCGGCACTCCATCCGCGCAGCTGTTGGACATTCCAGCCCTTTCAAGGCCAAACGCGGCGAGGGGGCGCCATGCACAACGCCTGGCTCGGCCTACCGGTCCTCCCGCTAACGTGGTGCGAAGAGGAGGGATCTATGACGAAATGGAATGTGACGTGAGAGGAAGAGGATAGACACGCGCGTTCCACTGCTCGCGAAGTAACTACTCGCAACTGTCCTGGATCTGTCGGGGGGGCGATTCACGAGACATCACGTCGAGGCAACAAACTGTTCTTCGGGCGTTTGCGAGTAGGCACTTTGCGAGTAGTGAAGCGCGCTCGGTGAGAGGAGGGAATCCGCTCAACACCAATCACCCGACTGGTGGGCCCCTCCGGTGGCCCGTCCTGCTCCGCTGCTCTGGCAGCGAACCAGCCGCCGCGCAAAGAGTCTCTCCCGAGAACCGCCCGAGCAGCGCGAAGACGGACGACGACGACGACGACGACGACGACGACGACGACGACGACGACGACAGCAAATTCGGCGGCGACGACGACGACAGCAAATTCGGCGACAACGACGACGACGACGACGACGACGACGACGACGACGGCAAAGTCGGCGGCGACGGCGACGGCGGCGCGGCCTCCTCGAGAAGCGCGGGAGGTCCTCCGCGGCGACCAGCGGGTAGCGCCCGCGGCCGCCGGGCCCCGGGGCCGCGGCCGGGGGCACGGCCTGCGGGCTGGAAGCCCCCGCTGGAGCGGGAGCCGGGGATCGACAAGCCCGCGCCCATGCCCAGCGCCACCCCTCCCCCGTCCGACCCCCCCTATGTGAGCATGGGCGTGTGTCTGTGTAGGAATGTGTGTAGTGTGTGTGCGTGTGTGTGTAGGTAGGTAGGTGAGTAGGTCGGTAGGTCGGTAGATAGGTAGGTGGGTAGGTGGGTAGGTGGGTAGGTGGGTAGGTGGGTAGGTGGGTAGGTAGGTAGGTAGGTAGGTAGGTAGGTAGGTAGGTAGGTAGGTAGGTAGGTTGGTAGGAAAGGTAGGGAGGTAGGTAGGTAGGAAGGTAGGTAGGTGTGTGTGTAGGTGTGTAGGTGTGTAGGTGTAGGTGTAGGTGTGCAAGTGTGCAGGTGTGTTGGTGTGTAGGTGTGAAGGTGTGTAGGTGTGTACGTGTGTAGGATTGTAGGAGTGTAGGTGTATGAGTGTGTAGGTGTGTAGGTGTGTAGGTGTGGAGGTGTGTAGGTATGTCGGTGTGTAGGTGTGTTGGTGTGAAGGGGTGTAGGTGTGTGGGTGTGTAGGTGTGTAGGTGTGTAGGTGTAGGTGTAGATGTGTGTAGGTGTGTGTAGGTGTATGTGTGTGTGCGTGTGTGTGTGTGTGCGTATGTGTATGCGTATGCGTATGCGTGTGCGTATGTGTATGTGTATATGTATGTGTATGTGTATGTGTGTCATGCCCCAGTGACGCGCAACGTCTCGAAGCCAGCACGCTAACCACGAGCCGAAGGCCGACGACATATGCACCAAGACCCCAATCCCAGTGCAACGCGTCGCCACGATAGAGCACCCCATCCGGAGGGCTCCCAGGCGTAGCCCAAGAGGGCCCCGAGAGGCTAAGCACCCAGGCTCGCACCCGAGGTGGGGTGCAAGTGATGCAAGAGGTCCTCTCGCCGAGTGCGCCTAGCTCTCTGACCAGGCGTGCACTGCTTCAGAGGGCGGGAGCGGGCCAGGGCAGGCCACCGAGAGGCTCTTCGCACCTCGGTTGGCGGCCACGTATGCCCCGCAGTTTCTGCACAAGACGAAGGGTCCACGCGTGGCTAGCTCGTGGCCCTGGTCCATCGTCACTTCGTCCTCCCCCGCCCTCCGCCCCCCGCCCATAGCAGCAGGAGCAGGCAATGCGATGGGAGGCTCGGGCTCTTCGTCGCCCTCCGCAGGCGCAGCGTCGGCCTCTCCCGCAACGGCAGGCTCGGCCCTCACCTCTGCCTGGGCGGCGGCCACGGGCGCGGCATCAGCAGTCGCCGCACCGCTCGGCGCAACTGCGCGGGCCTCGCGGCAAGCCGTCTGCAGCTGGCGCACCCGCTCGCTGCGACCGGTCAGCCGCGGCGCCTTGGCCACCTGCTCGCTGTGGCCGCCCGCGTCTGCGGCCGCCGCCTCCGCTGCCGGGGGGGTCGCCCTCCGCCTCGGGCGCCGCGTGGGATCGGCAAGCCCCGACGCGCGCGGCCACCGCATCGGGACCCGGCAGGGGCGTGCCAGCCGCCGCAGGCCTCTTGCGGGCGACACGGCGAGTCGCCCGCGACTCGCCGAGCTCCTCGTCGCCGCCGCCCCCGCGCGGGCCGCGGGCAGTGGCCGCCGCAGCCGCTGCAAGGGCCAGTGCGGGCCCCAGGGCTGGGACTGCCAGCGTCTCGGCAGCGCTGGTCTCCGCCCGAGCCTCGGGCCGGTTGCTGGCCATCTTATTCGCCAGCCAAGCCGCCAGAGCGGCGCCCAAGCGCCCCGTCCAAGCCGCTCGGGGCGCGGCGCCGCGGCTGCCAGAGCGGCCGGCGGGGCGTCAGGGGCGCCCGGGGTCGCCTGGGAAGCCCCATGGGGCCAGATCGTGTTTTGCTGGCGGGGAAAACACGGTGGCTGGGGCCGCTGCCGAGGCCGCCGGAGCGGCGTCCAAGCGCCCTGTCCGGGCCGCCCGGGGCGCTTCCGGGGGCGGCGCCGCGACTGCCGGAGCGGCCGGCGGGGCGTCAGGGACGCCCGGGGTCGCCCGGGGAGCCCTTGGGGCCAGATCGTGTTTTGCCGGCGGGGAAAACACGGTGGCTGGGGCCGCTGCCGAGGCCGCTGGGGCGGCGTCCAAGCGCCCTGTCCGGGCCGCCCGGGGCGCTTCCGGGGGCGGCGCCGCGGCCGCCGGGGCAACCGGCGCGGCGTCCCGGGCGTGGGAAGCGACGGCATCGTCGTCGGCCGGACGAAAGAAGGAAGCTGAAAGAAGGAACGATAAACAAGGAACGAAGCCCTTTTCTAGCCCACAAGCGCCTGCGTGCACGAGGAAAGCTAGAGGAAAAGCCATAAAAGGACCTAAGGAATCTCGAGCCCATTCCTTATCCAAACTATGAAGGGGCCCTGGGACACACAAGTAAATAGACACGAATAACAGGATTACCCATATTTTCCCATATCTTCTTGGTTTTTGTCTTTCCCCCACTTCCCATATTTTCCCATGTTTTCTGGGAAATCGACGATGATTTGTGTCTGTGTGTTTTTGTCCCTCCTGAAGCTAGTCCTCATTTCAACGACTTGGCTGTTACTCAAGTTCCCCGCGGCTGGTCGGGACGATCCGGGCACCCCTGGTCCGATAGCTTGGCAGGTCTGGCCTCAACGTTCGGCCACATAGGCGCTTCCAAAACGGCAGGGGGCGGCGGTGATTCGCCGTAGGCGTCCTCGATGAAACACGAAGAGGCGCCACGGAATCTGGAGAAATATCATGGCCCACGCCATGATGGCCACACACCCCTCTAGTCATCACGCCCCTCTTGGCCGCCCCCGAGTACAGTCGAGGCGTTGACCTAAGGAACCCTAAATAAGGAACGAGGCCCCTATTTTCCATAAATTGAACTTCGATGTCGTATCGAAAACCGAAAGGAAATCCGAGG